AAAATTGCCATCTTGAAAACCCAAAACTTGAAAGTGTTTGATGTATCTACTGTAGAGGAATTAATACAGTAACCTTAAAACGACAGAGGTCACTATGGGAAGGTGACCGGGAAGTAGTGAAGAGGTCAGGTAGAGCTGAGTCAATTGGGGTTGTAATACACTTGTGCATGGAAGCAATGCTAGGAACCTCTGTATAGCTATCCTTATCTCAACTAGCAAAAACGCTTTGTCTTTCTTATTATTGCTTATGTCTTCTCTTCAACAAAATTGGAGAAAAGGGCAGAACAGGTTCTGCCTGGAAGTGAGGGGGGTGGGGGGAGAGAGGGGGCGGGGGAAGGGACAGGGGAGGGGGCAAGGGGCAGGGGAGGGGGAGAAATGGCCCAAGCAATGTATGCACATATGAATAAATGAAAAAAAAAATTGCCATTTTGAGAAAATAAGAAAACATACACAAGAAAATTGCCATTTTGAGACTATCACAACTAGTAGTTCAGGTAAGAATCATGAATGCGTGCTAAAGCAAGTGGAGAAAAATTTGATGAGAATAGCATAAATATTTCTGTACAAATTATTTATTAATTATGAGGAGAAATCTGGGAGAGGAGCGCAACTACCTCAACCTGTGGCCAAAGTTAACCTGAGCAGCGGTGGCACACACGAGAACTACGTGCCTCCTGTCCCCACGTGCTGGGAACACAAGACTACCTAGTGAATATCCCTGCTTGAAAGTCTAGCCTGACCCTCATCGCAAGGCTGCATCCCAGTCTGAGGCACGCCCTACAGAGCACCTGAGCTGAGCTCGTCAACAAAGTGAAGGACTTGAAGAACAAAACGATTAAGGAACTGTTCCAGAGTAGAGGCCACAGAGACACATGGAAGAAGCCCAACTCATGGTCCTAAATCAGATCCTGGGTGGGGAAGGTGCTTTGAAGGACACGAGAGAGGCCATCAGTTCAATGTGAAGAGGCCTGAATTAGATAATAGCCTTGCAGCTATTATTCAATGATTATTCAAAAATTGCAATATGGCTGGGCACTGGCAGCTCATCCTGTAGTCCTAGCTACTCCGGAAGCAGAGATCAGGAAGAAGGCAGTTCAAAGCCAACCCAGGCAAATAGCAAGACCCTATCCCCTATAAAAAACCACCACAAAAAAATTGCTGTCAGAGTGGCTCAAGCAATGAGTGTCTGCCACAAAAATAAATAAATAAAAATAAATTGTGATATGACTACATAAGTGAATGTCTTTATTCCTAGGAAATAAACACAAAGTATTTGGGGACAAAATGTCCTAAAGTCTGCAACTCAGTGACTCAGTGACTCATTAAAAAAGTACAATGATAAAGCAAATGTGGAAAAATGTTAACCATGGGAGAAGGCTATATGGAGTTGTTTTGTACTATTCTTACAACTTTTCCATAAGTCATAAGTTATTTCAAGATAAAACCCCCAAAAACTAGTGGAGCTCTCTGGGCGTGGTGGTACACTCCTGTAATCCCGGCATTCAGGACGGTGAGGCAGGAGTATTGTGAGTTTGAGGCCAGCCTTGGCTACACAGTGCCTCAAGAAAAAAAATCTAGGGCTGAGAATGTAAGTCATGGGTACAGCATTTGCCTGTCATGCACAAGGCCCTGGGGTTAATCCCCAGCACTGCAATCAATCAATCAATCAATCAATAATATTTTAAAAAGTAGAAAAAAATCTAATGGAAGTTAAAATAGAATGATAAAATATACTCAACTAAGCCAAAGAAGGGCAGACAAAGGAGAAACAAAGAATGGTGGACAAAGGGAAGGGGCAAGGTGGTAGGACTTAAACCCAATTACATATGTAATTCATCAGAAAGTATATTAACTTGTTTTAATTAGTATAGTGTAATACCTCGTGCAGGCTAACTTTATAAAGAAAAGAGGTTTTATCTCATAGTTTTGGAGATTCAAGGTATTCGCTGTGCCCTGCTGAGAACCGCTTGGCTGACAGCATCACAGCAGAGGTGCGTGCAGGCAGAAGTGATTGCTACAAGGATGCCAGAGAGGCTGGGGTCCCTCAGTTTCTTCCAAAGGCACACACCTTTAAGGGTTCCCCTCCAGTGTCACTGTACTTAGGACCAAGCTTCCAAAACATGAAACTTTTTTTGGGGAAGGGAGCCTACTTAAGTCCAAACCAATGCAGAAATTATAAAATAGTAAACCCAATAATCTTAGCAATTAGATAAATAGAAAAATGCTAATTATATTAGTGATCAGTAAAGAAGTAATTGTTAATAGAATAAATATTCCAGTTACAGGAAAAATATTATCAGACTTAAAAAATAAGATCCAGCTATGTTATAAGAGATACATCTCAAATGTGAGAGCACAATAGGTTGAGAAAGAAAGGATGGAAAAGATACACTCTATGAACATTAACCAAAGGAGTAACACAGCAGCCAGCGATGCAAACCAGGCAGGAAATCGAGTAAGGCTTTGACAATGATTATCCATTATTATCGTGACCTTGTTCAAATCCTCCAAGCAACTATTGGGGATAAATAGCTGCAAGAATGGGGAGGTTTTGGAACCCCAGAATAGTGACCATGCCTTTTTCACATGGGCCTTTGGGGGACACTTATCCAACATAGCAAATGCTACTCTGAGGGTTATGGTCATAAATTAGAACTGAGTCTAGTCAGCTTAATTGTATGACTTTTTAAGAACTAAATTACTGAGTTATTCCAGGCAAGTACAGCAGAGGAGAAAAGGAAGAAGGGATTAGTAAATTAGTAATAAATAGTGTTGAACCATGAACTCTAAACTAGATGACAAAGGGAACAAGAACTAGACTGGAGCAGTTAGTGAGAAGTGCTGGGATCAGGCTGGATGATGTCATAATCACAGGAACAAGACAGCAAATCAGGATGCTGGTGATGGTGATGCCCTGGATATGATCATGTTTTTGAGGTTGGGCAGTCCTACCTCCATTTTGTCCTTCTCTGGTTCTACTTTGACTTTTCCCCCAGTCTCTCTCTTGAAGTCACCTTGGACTCTGGGAGGGACAGGACCAAATCAATAAGCATCTTTATGACAAGGGACAGAACCTAGCCCCAAGCAACAGTGAGCCTCAAAGGTAGTTTTCTTTCTGAGTCTCTCTCTCTCTTGAAGTCACCCTGGATTCTGGAAGGGACAGGACCAATCAGTAAACATCTTTATGATAAGGGATAGACCCTGCCCCAAAGCAACAGTGAGCCTCAAAGGACAGACCACTCCCCAAAATGGGTGTAATTCTCCATGATGGTGAGGCTGCACCCCATAACGGGAGTAATCATCTCATGGGGACCAGATTGCTTCCCCTTAAGTGATGACAGCAATAACAACTTCTCCAGAAGCTCTGATCAAGGTTACCTACTCTGTCAGCTATACTACCTCAAACCCCTTCTTGATTTCATTTTCCTACAAAACATCAGCGTTCCTCTAAGCTCCTTGAAGACGGACTTGGGGGGACTAAACCTCTTTATCTGTTCTTCCAGACACAGCTGTGTCGAATCAATCACCTTTCTCTGCCCTTCTCCACTCCGTCTCTTTAATTAACATATTGGTTCGGGTGGCTGAGCTGTCACTTGGGACTTCTGGAGCTGGGGCTTTTGCCCTAAAACTCCATCAACAATTTGATGGTTGAGATGAGACGGGGAGGAAAAGGCGACTAAAGCTAGTCATTTAGAACTGGGATATTACATCGAGTATGCAGAACCAGGTGCTGGAATCATCAATGACAAAAAAGGAAGGACCAGAAGACTGCAGCAATGAGAAGAGCTATAGAGGGAGCATCTGGAGACAGCCCTCAAAGAGAGTGAGCTATGTGCCTCACTGTCCACAGTCTGTGGAGGCTAAGTACAGAAGTAGCCAACAACACTGGCTTTGGTAGTTATGCTGCCTAAGAATGACTTAAACGACTGTCCCCAACAGCCTCCTCCTGTGCTAAGGAGTCTTGCCGCCATGCTGGTCTGAAGGTGGCCATGCTAGTCTTAGGGTTGTCAGAGGGGATGGAAAGTCCAGCGACCACACTGAAGGGAACATCTTCAATACAGAACACTGCAGGTGCATTAATTTCTACAAGAACGCGGTAAGCTACTTTAGAGTGTTTTGTACCTTTTTTCCATATGCATTGAATCTGGACTAAGTATTACCATGTGTTTTACATCTTCATGAGTATGTTGAAAATTTGGAATTCATTATAAAAAAGAGAAATATTTGCACCTGTTTCCAAGATTTTTCCTCCATTCTACTCCCGAAGGTGAATAGCTGAGCATTTCTGGTAACTGCGATCTTTCACAAAATAAAAACTGTTAGAAATCAAGTGTTTCCTTTCCTCCTTCCAAGGTAACCAGGGAGAAGTGAGAACTTGTCCAGTGATTAGAGGGGAAGGCAATCTGTTGAACAATAAACAGAAATAAGTCTGGCGCTGAGTCACTGCACATGGGGAAAGAGGTTGTAAATGAGACACAGTGAACACTCCCATGAGACGCTCATAATGATAATCTTCCTCCTAAAAGACTCCTACATATCTTTTTTTCAAGTGGAAAATAAACAGTATTTGAGTACCGATGTCTTTATTTCCATCTCACTAGAAAGGAAACAAAGAACATGAACAATTTGAGTTTTGTAACTCAAACGTTTACTAAGAACTGTAAGTTGCTTAAATTTGTAGGGTTCAGTGATTTTTAGCAGGAAAAAAAGCAACTACTAAACCAGTTATGAACATTGAAAGCATCATTACCAAGTGTTTTTCTACCCAGTGTAACTGCAGTTTAGCCAATAGTTTACAATTTAGTCAAATAACAAAGCTGCCAATCATTTGGGGAGTCATAAATTAAATATTCTGCTCCTTCAACTGATAGCATTTGTTTTTATTTTTAAAAATAAAATGATCATATCCACTAGCCTGCCACCTGGCAAGCATTAAACATTTACTTGTAGAATGAACAAATGAGCAAGTCCTCTTGTGTTCTCGAAATACAGTCCTTCATTTTGCTACATTCCCTTTCATTTTTCACAGAATCTTCGGCTCATTTTACACAGCTTAGTTGTGGAGTAAGAGTCTCCAACAGACCGAGCGATGGCCACGCACTGCAGTGGACAGTGACGAGGCGGAGGCTTTGAGTACTTTGCTTTCAGAGTTTGGCAGAAGCCCAGGATCATTTTCTGGGAGTTTGGGAGACGCCGCCTCCCGCCACCTTACCGAAAATAGCCATTTCTTCTATCGCTAATGTACTTCTCCCAGCTGCAGTCTCGGAAGTAGCCCTAAGGAGGGAATCCTCGGGCGCAGTTCTTTCCTTCTCCAGGTGGCCCGGGCTGCTGGGACCCTAGCGAAATCTTTGATCCCCGGGCTCCCCGGCCGGTAGCCACCTCCTCCCTCCGCCAGTCGGAACACGCCATCCGTCTGTCGGTCCGTCCGCGAAACGCCACACAGCGCTCCTGCAGCCACAGCACGCGGCAGCAGAGGACACGGCAACCCCAAGCCGAGCCCCACGGCCGCCCACGCCCACCCGGAGCCCTTTGATTTATTCGGCTAAAGCCCCGCCACGCAGCACCATCTCAGACCACTCCGAAGGCCTTTCGGGGACGCAATGTTGGGGACACTGGTGAGTGCGTGTCATGGGGGGCAAAATGTTTGGCGTTCCCGGAGGCAAGAAGGGGTGCGGAGCCGCTGGGTGACCCTCCGGGGCTTCTTGCGGACCCGCGCGCGGTGGGTGGCGGGCTGGGGCCGGGCGCGGGGGCGGGCAGATGACGAGGCGGGAGGCGGGGGTCTGCGCGGCGGCGGCGGCGGCCCGGGCGTCGCTGGCTCGGCGCGGGTTCCAGGCTGGCCTGCGAGCGGGATGGCGCGCCCGGGGGTGAGCGCGGCGGCGTCACAGGCACTCGCAGCCCGCGGCGCAGCAGCCCGGCAGGCACACGCACACGTGCACGCGCGCCCCGCACCCGTCCCCCGTGCGGGACCGGCGCGGGGCGGCGGCGGCGGCGGAGGCCTGGGGCGCGCGGGCCGGTGGCGGGCGGGCCGCGGGACCCCCGCGGGCGGCGGACCGGCGGGAGGCGCTCGGGGGCCGGTCCGCGCGGCGCCCATGCTCGGGAAGGGCCTCACGGTCTGCGCTGTGGCGGGAGGCGCCCGCCGGCTCCAGGCGCCGCGCGGGACGGGACGCGGGCGCGGGCGCTGAGCGCGGCCTGTCCCGCAGGTCTGGATGCTTGTGGCCGGTTTCCTGCTGGCGCTGGCGGCGCCGGGCCGGGCCGCGCCGAGGGCGGGCAGACGCCAGGCGCGGCCGCGGGGCTGCGCGGACCGGCCCGAGGAGCTCCTGGAGCAGCTGTACGGGCGGCTGGCGGCCGGCGTGCTCAGCGCCTTCCACCACACGCTGCAGCTGGGGCCGCGCGAGCAGGCGCGCAACGCGAGCTGCCCGGCAGGCGGCGGGCCCGCCGACCGCCGCTTCCGGCCGCCCACCAACCTGCGCAGCGTGTCGCCCTGGGCGTACAGGTGAGCGGGGCGCGAGGCGAGGGTGGGGGAGAGGGGCGGGACCTGGAGAAATGGGACGAGGAGAGGCGGGGCGATGTCGGGTGCAGATGTGGGGTGGGGCCGGGTGGAGAAGCGGGGCGGGGCCGGGTGGAGGAGTGGGCGGGGCGGGGTGCAGAAGTGGGGTGGGGCCGGGTGGAGGAGTGGACGGGGCGGGGCCGGGTGGAGGAGTGGGCGGGCCGGGGGTGCAGAAGTGGGGTGGGGCCGGGTCGGGGCCGGGTGGAGGAGTGGGCGGGGCGGGGTGCAGAAGTGGGTTGGGGCCGGGTGGAGGAGGGGGCGGGGCGGGGCGGGGCCGGGTGGAGGAGTGGGCGGGGCGGGGTGCAGAAGTGGGGTGGGGCCGGGTGGAGGAGTGGGCGGGGCGGGTTGGAGTTCTGAGGAGGGGCCGGTACAGAAGTGGGGTAGGGTCGGGTGGGGGAGTGGGGCGGGGGCTGGGCCGGGTGGAGAACTGGGGAGGGGCTGGGAAGGACAAGGTGGAGGAGTGGTACTGGGTGAAGTGGGTGGGGTCAGCCCTTGAGATGTAACAGGTGTGGAGGGGTGAGAGAGGGCAGAATTGAGCTGGGAATGGCAGATAGGGTGGAGCCCGACAGGACGGGGTGATAGGCTAAGGTTACGGCTGATGAGCGCAGATGGAGCAACTGGGTTGGTGGCAGTTTTTTCCTGCAGAAGTCTGTCACCAAACCAAGTGATCGCTTCTTAATTTATATGTAGTTTTTGTACGAGGGGCCTGAGGAAGTTCCAATGAGGAGGTCTAGACGTTTCTTGAGAGCCTGTGTGGTCTGGAGGCAGCTGGGCACTGAGTGCTGGGAGGTACACCCTCTGAGACCATTGAGCAGAGTCTCTGGAGTGGAGAAGACTAGAAAAGAAACTGTAAATACAAGGCAGAATGTCATGTGACATGCAAAGCTTTAAGTGTGTGGCAGTTTAAAGGTGGGGGTGGGGAACTGCATTTTGAAGGATAAAAATGGCATTTGAAATGCATAGAGAATGGTCTGGATTCTGAGGGCCCTGGTTGGGGTGTCCTTTCAGAAGAAAGGAGGAACATGCTGTGAAGGTTTTCAACTGAAAACAGTGAGTGTGTGGCTAGAGTGTCTTCTGCAGACTGTTCCTGCCCTTGAGGAGAGGGACCTGAAGAACGGACCCTTCACACTGCCCAGAAGTCGAGAAAGAGCTGCAGCTTTGTAGATAAGAGACTGCCAAGGATGAGTGTGGTTGGGAGGGAAGGCCAGCTGATGGCAAGGGAAAAGAAAGAGTCTGTCCTTTGAGCCACCAGATGATGACCAGGCCCGGAGAGAAGGATCAGGAGCTGGAGAGGGCCTGGTGAGCAAACTGTGCCCACACTTGAAACCTATCCTGTAGGATTTTTTTCTTTTTTAAATGTGTTTTGTGGCGCTTGGGATCAAATGCAGGACTTCACACATGCTGGGGAAGCACTGAGCTCCGCCTCAACCCTGACCCCCACCCTGATCATGGAAGCTGTCCACCAGAGTAGCCAGGAGACCATGATAGAGCCAACCACTCTGTTTTCTAGGAAGGTGTGTTAGCCAGTTTTCTGTCACTGTTCCTGGGGCATAAAGACAAAAGATTTATTTTGGCTCTTGGCTTTAGAGTCCTGATCCATCAGGCAGCCCCATTGCTTTTAGGCTTCTGGTGGGGTTGTGTAGCGGGGAGTATGTGGCAGAGCAAAACCACTCACCTCATGGCTAGGAAGCAAACAAAAGAAAAAGGAAGGGGCCAGGGTTCCATGGTCCCCTTCCAAGGCACACCTCCAGTGACCTAAGTTCTCCCACTAGGTTCCACCTCCAGTCCGCAGAAAATGGAATGATTTTGTCTAAATAACCAGCTGGTTAATGGGAAGGAAATCTGCTTTTACTGGACACCACCGAACACCACAGACGGCCCTGGGAAGCTACAGTCATGGCCTTTCCCCACCTGGCTACTTTTGAAGACCAAGTTCACTTGTGACGAGCCCCTCAGAGCTCCGCTGTCCTCCTTCTGCCCTCAGCCCATCTGTTACTGTCATCTCACCAGATGTTTTCAGGATATTTTCACACTGGTTGCTTCATTCTCTTGCTTTCCTTTTCCAAAACCCCATTAAGCCTTTGATCTGCTAAATAGACTGGGGAGACCTCTCAGGAAGACACACTGATTTCTTTGACTGGAGACCCTTGGAAACAAATCCTGGTCTCTCCAGGTCAGTGGATGCCTGGCTTGGGCCAAAGGACACAGCACACACAGCAGTGAGTCGTTTCTGGCTTCGTTTATTCATTGTATTTAGGCAAGATAGGAAAACAGAATGTGGGCGAGTGTTTTGGGAGGAAATAACGAGTTCAGTATTGGGCCTGTTGAGTGTCCCCTGCCTGAGAGTTCTACAGGTGACAGGCAGCTCTGGGTGTGGTAGTGTCACTCAGGAGAGAGCCACGCGGGAGGGCAAGCTGGGAGTTGCCAGCCACATTGTGCACAGCTGGTTAGAGCAGGCTGCCCTCCACAGGAGCTGACACCTGCATCTCCCCAGGCCTCGATGGGGAGCAGGAGGGCTGGGGAGGGAGACTGTGGGGGCTGCAGACATCTGCCCTGTGTGCAGTCCAGAGTGGGGTGATTCCAGGAGCAGCATCCTTTTCCACATTATTTAGCAACAGATGCAATTGCTCCCTGTGAGCAAATGGGCCAGGTAGCTTCCGTTGGAGGGAGGAAAGATGGTCCCTGGGGCCTGGTGCTGGGCCAGGGCTGCTGAGGCTGGCCCTGCTTTCCTACCAGGAGATCGCCGCCTCTCTGTGCCCTTCCTCAATCCCCTCTCACCACCTCTTGGGCCAGTGGGAAGATTAGAAAAAATGACAGCCCCAAAGTGCAAAAGGGTTGTGGAAAGACAGCTCTGGTTTGGTTGTAGAGCTCTGAGGACCCTGGGTGAGGGTGGAAAGTGCTCACTGCAGTCCATCAACTCAGGGCCAGAGGTGGTGAGGTCCCCTCTTGCATCCGCAGGCTCTGCCTCCGTACAGCATCTGTGCTGAGCAGGCAGCCAGCTCTTCACGGAGCCCTCAAGCCCTGAATTAGGTTATTACAGGTAGTCTGGAGATGACTGAGGATGTGTGCAGGTTCTGTGCAAATGCTGTTGTGCTTTACATATGGGACTGAGCACCTGCAGATTTGGGTGTGTGATTCCTTGGGAGTCCCAGTGCCCATCGCCTATGATGCCAAGGAACAGAATGACCATATTTCTAGAGGCAAAACAGCCAGTGAGAATGCTAAAAAAGTTTGGAGCAGGAAACAGATTTCAAGTCAGAAATACGAATGGGTGCAGGAAGGACAACTAGGTGGCGAGCCAGGTTTTAAATAGTTGGACTAGCAGGGGCTTTCCGTGTCTTTGGTATTGGGACAGCTGGATCCCCAGCTGGAAAAAAATACAATTAGATGTCACTTCTATGTGATGATAAATTTCAGATGATTCAAAGATTTAGACGTAAAAAATAAATCCACAAAGGAGAAAAACACCAGCAATTATATTTATAGTCTTGGAGTGGAAGTGGCCTATTCAGCAGCTCTGTCTTCAAATGCCACAAAAGATAATTTTGAAAAATGCAGTTACATAATTGTACGCTGTTTCTTCTTGGAAGAATAAGAGAAATACAGGGGAAAATATTTACAACCATGTCCTAAGGGGTTTGCTTCCTAAAGAGCTCCCATGAACCAATAAGAAGGTCAATGATGTTATGGAAAATGGGCCGAGGTCAGAGACAATTTGGGAAGGAAGGTCATGTGACTCAGCACTGGCACTGGTGGAGGAGCTGTCCCCTGAAGGCAGTTAGTGAGGTGCATGGTAAAACCATAATGACACTTTCTTTTTTACCACTATCAAGCTAGTTTGCTATGGGGAAGAAGGAGGTAGGTGCTCATACAGTAGAGGAGTGTGAATGGACACAGCGTTTACAGGAGGCAGTTGGGTGTTAACTAGCAACACAGTCTCATGGTGTTGCCCAAATTGGCCTTGAACTCCTGAGTGCAAATAATGCTCCTACAAGGTGCCATTGCACACAGCTATCGCCTGTTTTAATCCGCATACACTTTGACCCAGCTATTCCACGGTCAGCATTTCTCCTATAGAACCATTTGTCCAAGCACTAAATGGTGTACAAAGATACGAGCTCATCACTGAAAGTCAAGGGACTAGCAGGCGTCTCAGTGGCCACCAGCAGACAATGCTATACTATACAGGAGACACTCTCTAGGGCCCACATAGATCGGTCATTCGTCACCTTAAAGGATCAAAGGTGTATAGCATGCTGCCACCATTTCTGGGTTTTTTTTTTTTTTTTTTTGTGGTACTGGAGTTTGAACTCGGGGCCTTACTCCTACCTATCAAGCGTTAACCCAGCACCTGGCTCCATTTGTTTTAAGAGAGAAATTGGCCTGATGGGGTGGAGCACACCTGTAATCCCAGCTACTCAGAGTTGGAGGAAGGAGGATTGTGAGTTCGAGATCAGCCTGGGCAAAGTAAGCAAAGCCCTGTCTCAAAACCAAAATAAAAATAAAAGGGCTGGAGGTGTAGCTCAAGTGATAGAACACTGGCCTGGAATGCTTGAGGCCCTGGGTTCAATCCCCAGCATGGGGAGGGGAGAGAAGGTGACATAACATATATATAGAGATCAATGGTTTACCATATAACATAGGCTGGTCTTGAACTCCTGAGCTCAAGCCATCCTCTCCGCTGAGGTATGTGCCACCTTCATGCCTGGCATTGCTAAATGATATTTTAAACTTTCACATAGACGTGCTTACAAGATGCCTTGGGGTTGAGATTATTATGGTGCGGTCTATGAGGGGTCTGGTGGCTGGGGACAGGGTTGTGGCGACCTACTTTTTACTCTTGTATCTTGAATTTTCTGCCATATGCATGCTTCATTTATTTCAAAGATATTTTAAGTTGGGTGCCAGTGACTCAAGCCTGCAATCCTAGTTACTCAGGAAGCAGA